CAAAACCCCAAAACCCCAAAACCCCAAAACCCCAAAACCCCAAAACCCCATCATGCTAAATTTTGATTGTTTAATGAAATTAAATATAATCATTATTCATCATAAAATTGTAAATCTTTGGGTACATCCAATAAAATCTTGCCGTGCTTATTATCTAAAAATTTCAAAATTTTTTGATATCCCACCAATTTAGTCTTCATATTCTATGTAGCAAGTTCAACAATTCTTTAAGCTTATTTCAAGAATAGCTGAATAATCTGAGATTTCTTATTCTCTTGATTCATGCATATAATCACAAGTTTATGCTTTGTTTTAGACATTTCTATTTCATATTGCTTTCCATTTATATATCTGTAATTTTAATAAAGAATCTTTCTAGATTTGGCATTCTCATAGCGGTTATTATTTTTACTTCTTATCAATAGCTCTAATTGCTTCATAGGTGATACTTTTCGTCCGAGATTAGATTTAGATCTAAGTTAGCTTAATTGGGCTTTAAATTATTCAGGTAATTCATCATTTACATAGTTTTTATGTATAATTTCAGAGAAATCTTAAGTCATTTCTTTAGACCCTAGAATATCTATCTCATCATTCTAGATCATCAAATTTTTAAAGCCTCTTGTTGGTTTAGGCTCATTTTAGATGGATGCTAAAGACTAAGTCTTGTTCTCAATCGAGTTAAGAATTGAAGTGTTATCATTTACTAAGACTTATATGGATTTATAAGGATTTTAAGAAATTCTATCAGCAGCAGACTCTTGTGATCGATTCAATATCATAGTTTAACTGTTAAATATTTCTGTCTAATTTTTGTTTGAATCATGCAAGAGATTTATTCTTGTCCTACTCTATTTATTTCTCATGAATTTCTATAAATTTAATCAAATTTGGGTATAATAATACATTTAAAGCTCTTCTATGAGGTGAGATAGAAATACATCTTTTAGAAGAGGAGTTATTTAAAACAGTCGGTAATATTCGTGGGAATTAGCACATACTACTCACTAGCTCATCATGCTTCTAATTTTGCTTTTCAACTTTCTCCCAATCAAAATGGCTCTTTTAATTCATCAGTCTATTCAGAATTTTCTATAAGTATTCAGTTGATATTTTCCTATCATACCTAATTTTCATCTTAAATTCTTTTATAATCATCCCATCTCTTTCCAAGATTTAAACTACCTTTATTCTATGATCCTCTCTCATTGCTTTTAGACCTAGTTGTAAAATTTATTGCTGCATCATTAGGTAAATGATTCCTCTTGTTTTAAATGATCTTTGTTATCTTTTCTAACAGTATCCGATTTTCTCTTTCAATTTCAGTTTTCTTCTCTATCAAATGAGTTTAAAATAGTTACCTTCATCGAGAAGTAAAGTCTTTTTTTGTCTAACGCTTTTCTTAGGTATGAATAAGTGAACCTCTGTTTCAATAGCTGGCTTAGCGTTTACTATCTTCTGCCAATGCTATTAATCCTATTTCTGAAATAAAACATCTCTGATATCCTTTTTAGTAAGAACTGGCTTGAGCTCTATGTGCTGAATTAAATCATTATTATGCCTGGTAGCTCTCAAATTTTAAACGCTTTCCATTATTTATTTTAACTTTTATTCTTCTCAGTTTACACTTATTATATTTAACATCAAATTTTCTGCGGGGTTTTGGGGTTTTGGGG